TAATTACCGTAGCTTTATACTATGTTTTCATATCTAGTACCATTATAATCTTAGTTCTCCCCTGACTATTCTCACTTATTTGTTTTTTCTGGATGAACCATTTTGCCAACTTGAAGCAATATATTTATTTCTAGGATACTTTAGGAGAAACTGATATCTTTATAATACTGCCTTCCTATCCAAGAGTAATATGTGCTTTTTGCTTATTGAAATTTTTCAGGAGAGTTTTAAAATTCTTTTGAATAGGACTCTCATATTACCAGAATTAGAATTCTCAGCAACAGTCATGAAGAGACGCTGTGGCAATGTTCTGCTTTGTTTCACTTCTGCTTCCCATGTTTGCTCCACATGTTTCCCCCTCTTCTATATCATTTTCCTCTACTTCTGGCTCCCTGTTTCTTGGTCATTCCACCTGCTCCTCCAGACAGTTGGCTCTAGCACAGAAGAAGAACATATCCAACAGCGGAATACAGACTTAGAAGTTGATTATTGTTTTGCGTTGACCATCAGCTTCCTATGAAATGATGAAACTATGCATTTCTGTGTTTCTTGCCCTTCTCCATCAAAGACTCTGGAAAAATAAGAAATTGATTTAACTAAGGAAGGGAGGGAAGCAAGGGTTGAAAACTACCTATGGGTACTGGGTTCACTAGTTGGGTGAGGGGTTCCCCAAAAACCCAAGCCCCAGAATTATGTAACATACCCATGTAACAATCCCACACACATACCCCCTGAATCTATAATTTAAAAAAGAATTTTTTTTGACAAGTATTGAGGGGAATTTTGGTTTTGGAATAAACCAGTAGTTTGTAAAGTGTGGTCCTGGAACTTCCTAGTTAAAAATTGCCAGATGTGCTTGGTGAAAGCGTAGATTACTGAGCCTACCCTTAGATGTGAAAAATCAGAATCTTTAGAGGCGATGCCTGGGATTTTATATTTTCAATAAATATGCCAAGTCAGTGCTTATTCAACTGTAATCTGCATGTGCGTCATGTGGGCATCTTGTAAAAATGCAAGTGTTGATTCAGTAGGTTTGGTTGAGGCAAGATTCCATATTTCTAACCAGTTCTCAGGTGTGATGATGCAACTGCTCGGTGGCCACACTTTGAATACGAGGCTTTAGAGATTTTTTTTTTTTTTTGGTTCCCTGAATGTGAGAACCACTGAACTGAACTGAAATGGGGCATTAAGGATAGGAAGACGACTTTGCTTAAGAGGAGTCCTGTAGAAAGAAAATGTGCACTTCCCTGTGTGGGGTATCCCCATATAGAACCCTGATCCATACCCCTCTTTCTATCCACTTCCACATGATGGTTCAGTTTACCCTAATTCCTGAAAAAGCTCTATTTGATAGAGGCAAGGGTTATAGCAACAGCCTATTCCAAGCCCTTCCTGGGAGGGTCCCGGCATGAGTCCTGGCATAATAGACTTCCACAATGACATTTTATTGAGGTGGGATCCAAGACTTGGTAGTGGGAGCTCTGTGCCCATTGCCCTTCCACTTGGACAGACTGCAGTAAATGCAGTGTGGGTGGAGTGCCCTCGCACTGGGATAAGTCTGGAATGTTGTATAGACTACTGCTAATGAGCAGAATCAGAGAATAAAGGCAAAGACTCCCTTCCTGTTAGTACTATTGACCAGGAGATGAGGACCTGAATGACCCATTAAACTTTCTCTGCTTTGGCTTTTTCCAGCCTTCGGTGCATTTCATTCTCCCACAGTCCTTGCCAGCATTTTTTTTTCTGCTGATACCCGATGTTTAAGGTGGCCGGCCCTTGCTGCAGAGTCAGTGAGTCATGGAACATAACTTTCCTTTTTTATATGTCACACTGGTTCATTTGGGGGCCATCTCTACCATTTTTCTCTCCATAAACTATATGCTAACATTGCTAAGTAAACCAGCCAGCCCAGCTCTCTTCAGCATAAAACAATCCTGAATAATTATCAACAGGGCTGCTGAATATGACTATGTGTTGTGCAACTCCAGGAGATGGGATTCACACATGTAAATGACATTCCTAAGGTTCTGCTGTGTAGTGGCTCTGATTCCAAGATACTTCCAAATATAAAGTTGGGAGCTAATCTGCATAGTAAGGAAATGTTGGTCAGAAGGAAGACAATAGGAAGAAAAGAAATCCATTGTGACTACCAAGTTTCTGTGCAAAACTGCAAGTGTGTTCTCTCTTACAAATGTCCAAAAAAACCTGAGAATAAATGATAAGATTATATTAGGACTTTCAGATGAAAATGACAGAAACCTAAATCTAAACAATTTAGACAAAAGGGTTTTATTGGCCTAGATAATCCAGGAAAGGACTGAACAATCAGATACAGGAAAGACAGTGATACCGCTGAGCCCAGGAGCTATTGCAATCAGGGATTCAAATGCTTGCGTTTCTCTGTCTTGGCTTCATTCTCTTTGAAGTCTGCTTTCTTCTGTGTGGCAGAGAACATGGCCCACTGAGAGCTCCCAAGTTGTACATTTGAAATCTTTTGTTTCTAGACAGGGATTCTCTTTCTTTCTTCCAGTGTACAACACCTTGAGAAAAGACTCCGGTTGGCCTGGCTTGGACCAATTGCCTGTGGTCAGTGAGGCAGCGTTGTATAGAAAAATGGCAATTCCTCCACAGTAATCATGTAGCCAGAGTGCAGTTAGGTTTAGAAAAATTCCCAGAAGAAGGAAAGCCTTCTGGGTAGGCTAAATAGCAGATGTCCACTATAAAGCACATTTGCCCTTCTACATGTGCTATAGTCTGAGGGGGATCTCTGTAGACTGAATGAAATCCCATCCGTATTCAGCAAGAGTGCAGCTCTCTTCTGGCCTGTGGTTCCACTGAAGGCTTTTCCCTAATGCTGTTATAAGGGGCAGCTGTATCACAGCAATAGTTGCTTATTTATTCACTGTAGTGACAGTTACATTTCATGGAGCAGCTGCTGAAGCCAAAAAATGTTCAGCAAGGGCAAAATGTGATAAAAGCTCAATGCAATTTGGTTGCACATTATTAAGTTTTAATTTTTGGTTCAGGAATAAATTTTATTTTCTGAAGCTATTTTTAACTCATTTCTACAGTTGAAAAAGAGATGAATTACTCTCATCCCATCAATTAAACTGGTTAGAAAACCCTCTTGGATTTAAGACCTGAGTTTACTCTAGTTGAAACACAGGCAAAGTAGAGTTTATTTGGGGGTGGAAGTAGGATTCTAGGGAATAAATTTGTAGTGGCGTTTAGATGACATTTAAATGTTAACTTTTTGCACCACTATTTACTTACCTGTAAAGAGAATAATGTTAACACTGTTGTTTGGATGAAATGAATTAATGAGTGTACAACAGTTAAAATGTATAGCACTAGATGTTAATGTTATTATATTATTAACGCATTGATTTGTATTCAGTGAATTATTAGTCAACAACTTTGATTGCAAGTAGTAGATACCGTCTCAAAAATATGGTTAGTTATGAGGCTATATTAGATAACACCATGGGCAAAGAGGGTCCAATATTAAGTACAGGTGGGCCCCCACGGGACGGGAGTCAGGAATGGAGACGATCTCTCTTTCCCCAGGCCTGTGTGGTTCCTTATCCCTGATTTTCTGTGTTTCTGTTCCATGCTCCTCTTTGCAGCTCAGCTTCTTCTCCCTGTTCTTGCTTCCTGCTCTCAGGGCCCACATGAGAGCTTACTCATAGCTTTGGTTTGGTACTAGTTCCAACCCCAAACCTGCCTGGGTTTCAGTTCTAGAGCCCATCACAAAGTAGTGCATTCTATGTGTCTTAGTTGGCTTTTTATTAGAGAATGGTCAGCTGGCACTTGGCTTTGGGTCAGGTGTTTCACCTTGGGACATCCACGGAGATGTGATTACAGGGCAGAGGGGGTCTCATCAAACCACTTGGACCTGCCCCTTCAGCAGGGACTAAGGGTTGGGAAGCTGCTAGAAAGATGGTGGGCAAGAAGGCATCTGAGATCCTATCTGCTGCAAATGACTTTGAGCGGAATGATAAAATGCCAGGGTCCTCTGACAATCAGTCTGAGGGATGGGCTTGTTAGTGCCCAGGGCTTCCATGGTAGCAGGGGTGCCAAACCAAGGGCTCTAGAGTTTGGTGCCAAGCCAGCATCTAGACATGAACATGCTAGGTAGTTATATGAAACCAAGAACATTCAGAAGAGCAGCTTTTTAACATGTTTAAGCCTCAGTTCCTTCTATAAAAAGGTAATGATGTCTACCTTATCAGGTGTTAGAATTAAGTGAGAAAAGTTATCTTATAGCTAATCCAAGACACTTGGAACATAGTATGTGTACAATAAATGTAATTGCCTTTTGCTTTTCTTTCCCTCTTGCTTATGCATTATTTACCATAGAAACACATCCATTTAAAAGAAGCGATTAAAATGATTCTCTTATTTTGTTGTACTTGAAAATAAATTCAATTATTTGTAGGTAATTGATTTAAGTGATATCTATCCAAACAGCTTACTAGATTTTTCCTGTTTCTGATAGGAAAAGGAAAATCAGAGCCACTTAATGCTGTTTATTGATTTCTCGAGATAAACGCTGGTGTGACTTTGCAAATACCATTTGTGTACTGAATTCGTAATAACAGTCTATTTTTGGATCCTCTCCTAGTCTACAGGCCTCTCTTTGTAAAACAGTGGTGGTGCCTCTCAGATGCTGCCTCATACTTGGAGGTGAAAATATTTCCCGATCAGCTTCCTGACCTTATTCAATATTTAGAAAAGGGCACCTCATTAATTTCCCTTTCTAGCTCCAAGTGATACGTGCTGTCTTCTGGATGAAGCCTTATTTCCCTCTTCCATGGCTTACTCATACATCTCTGCTGTTAATCCTCGCTTCTCTTTCTTTTGTGCCTTCTCTTTCAGCTATGTATTTTCTCTCCAGAATCTTCAGCTTCTGCCCAAAAGAACTTCTCTCTCTTAGTCCATAAAGAAGTTAGACTTTTCCTTATCTTTAGAAAAGCCTCTTAAACCTGCTTCCCTTTCAAGCTAACCTCCTATTTCTCTCCTTCTCTTTGCCAACATAAAAAAATAGACAGAGATGAATCCCCAAATGAAAAGGTTTTATTTGAGAATAATATGCAAGAAGTGGGATTATAATCTGGGACATACACACAGAACAGGGTGGCCTCTAGTATGTCTGGAAGAACAAAGGAAAATGGTTAGGGTTTTTTGGGGGGAATGAGGAGGTTATACAAGTTGATTTGAAGGAAAGTCAATTCGTGCTGGCAGTGCCTTCTAAGAGCTGGTGAGTTTTGATCAGTGAGGGTCTGTGTTTGCTAGGTAGGACTTGGAGTCTTGGAGTACTAGTTAGGCTCTTGTAGTTTTGGATTAGGCCTGTGAGACAGTGTGTCAGGCAATTGTTCTGGTATAAGCCACTAGCTGTCCTTGGGTGACTCATGTAGTAAGCTGCAGTATGGAAAAGTGTCTTGTCCTGGTTCCTGTTATCAGGCAAATCATGTGTGAGAGCCCTCTCTTCAAGGCCTTTCCCAGCTCCATTTTGCCAGGGTTTGACACGAGTGACTCCATTTTGAATCTGACAACTTTATCACCTTCCAGACCTTCAAAACAGTTGGTATGGGTTGATTTTCACAGCTTCTTCATGCCTCACTTCCTTTTCAACTAGCTGCCCACAATTTCTACCTCCACTGCTCTACAGACTCTGCTCTTGCGGGCCATTAATAGCCATCTAATGCTAAGTCATATGACCTCCTAATGTCTGATCTTGAACATTCCGTTTTCATTGAAATTCACTGCTGTCTTGACTTCTAACACAGGACTCTACTGCTTATTTTTCTACCTCTAAGGAGACATTCTTTCTTCCTCTCCACCTCATACTCGATGTCTAGGTTTCTTTTGTAGAACTTGATAGATATTACTAGCTTGCTTTTTTACTGTGTCTCCACCAGACTACAACCTTCAGGAGGGCAGGCCTATTTCTATCTTGTTTACCACCATAACCGGTGCACATTTATAACTATAAATGTTACCATTCTCGCAGCCTCTCTGTCCACATCCTCTGAGGATGCCTTTGTCTCCTTTCTCCTTCACCCTCTCCATCTAATCAGGCACAGAGGCCAATTCTACCTCCAAAATATCTCTGGACTCCGTTTCAACATTCCTGTCCACACTGCTCAGCGTGAAGCCCTCATGATGTCTGGGCAGCTCTAGGGGCAGAACTGACAAAGTGATATCCCAATATGTCCCCATCAGTCTGTCCCATGCAGTGTTGACAAATTTCCCTTCCTAAGACACAGCATGAATCACGTAACACCTTGTTCATAGACTTCTGAATCTTCCCAGTGGTTAATCAACTCTATTCTGTTCCCTTTCTATGTTGCCTCAATTTACCCTTCAATTCTTCTCCCCCGTTCCTCCCCATTCTGCTGACTCATGTGCAGGCAGGGAACAGGGGTGCCATTAGGCAACTAGAGAGGAATGAGAGAGTTGCTTTATACCACTGTGGGGTGCTGCACTGGTCACGGTAGAGCTCCAAGACACACTGTTAAATTGGGAAGGTGAGATAAATTAAAAACAAGCAATATCTATAGGACAAATGAAGGACAATAATTGCTGAGCACAAGCAGTATACTGTTTTATTTAGCTTGGAATAAATATACCTTACTCTGATGGTAAGATTAAACCTAAATGTCTCAAGATAGAGACAGTAAAGAATAGTGATTGAGTGGATGAACTTTGAAACCAAACTACCTGGTTTTAAAAAGCATTTTTACTAGCCATGTGACTGAGCAAATCACTTAATCTCTTATTCCTCAGCTTCCGAATCTGTTAGATGAGAATGATGAAGTTGTTGTCAATATTACATGAGTGAACACACATGCCTGGTACATAGAGTACATTGTAACTCTTGGCTATTCCTGGCGGTGATTCAACAAATATTTATCAAATGCATATAATTGGGCAAGGCACTGCACAGCGATTGGGTAAGGTATGAGGGAAGGAAGAATGAAGGAGAAGGAAAACATTAGAAAAGGGAAGTCTAGGATAACCCACTTTTCTAACTTGGACACACCATGAAAAAAGTGCCATTTACTAAAGGAAATACGAGAAGCAGGGAATAGGAACTTACATGTTCAAGCTTTATATGATAATTTCTGTTGGTTTCTTTTTAGAACTTTTCAAGTAGCCATTATCTCTCAAAATGTTAAATCCACAAATGTGTATTACTTTTAAATAACTTTAAGGGCCAAGAACAGCAGATAATTAGGTAGTTTACCAAAAGGCTTCAGGAGTGGGAAAAGGAAAAGTTTATGGGTCCATGTTCCTATTCCAAACAATCCCTAGGAGAAACTGTTGGTGAAATCGGAAAATGCTGCCAGAAGACCTGGTAATCCATCACATCATCTGCTTCCTAGGAGCACGGGATGGATGTGAGCAAGTGCTTTTCTCTGTTCCTCTGTGGATCAAACCTCCGTCAAGTTCTAGGTCGTAGCTGTTCACTGTTGCTTTTCTCTCTACATTAAAACAGTCAGTATTAAAGAATAATTGCTAGAACAATAGTGCCAGATATCAGAAGTTTATATGATTATTAATAAACGTTTACTCACCACTTGTGTGTAAGACATTGCATTGTATATTTTATGTGAAATTACTTAATTAGGTGGAATTTCATCGATCTGTAGCGTATTAGAGCAAGAAAGGGCCTCAGAGCTAATATGGTCGAAGCTTCTCATTTTGTAAATGAGCCAACTGGAGCCATGGACAAGATGAAATAGCTTGCCCAAGATCTCATCTTGAGTTATTGTTACTAACAAGCTGGCAACACTATGAGGCTGACAAATATGCAACTGGACACTATGAAATCACTTGGGCTCCTCAATCTTTTTCAGTGACTGACACAAACAAGTAATTGTGTCTTTGGCTCACAATTTAACTAATTCTGTACCTGACAATCTTTAAATAAGGCAAAGTCAAATTTTTAGAAACATGTCCTTTTGTGTTTTGTGAATGCAACCCACTTAGGTATTGGAAACATGGAAACTGCATTGAGCTGAATTACTCTTTTCTCTATTTTTATCCTCATTTATAATCTTTTTCCGACACCTGATTTAAAAAAATTAGAGAGAAAAATTGTGTTAGCATTTTGTCCGTGTCTTCGCGTATTAAAGAAAAGAATTTACCTACAATGTCTAGCTCCTGAAATAAGCGGATAGATTTAGTTTGCTCCGTGAGCCTGTATCTTTTCTTCTCACTAAGGTTAAAGAAAGAATAATTACACAATTTGGGGGGTGATTTTCCCTCTGGCTAAAAATGGCCTGGTAAGTACCCTAAACAATCTCTCCCCTCTGCTGCCTCCTAGCTTTCTCACACGATCTGCGTGCTGCTTCTTGAGAATCCAGATGCTCTGGGCTCCAGTCTCTCTGCCTAACATCTGATTTGAAACACTGTGCTAAAACCATCTGCTGTATTTGGGGAATAAAGGGTGGAATAAGTAATGCCTTTTACAAATGTGTCCAAGTAGGGCAATCAGGAGAAGGATAATATTAATAAGACGTGAAGGCCTGTTTGGTGCCGAGTCCTCCACTCAGTTGGCCACTCAGTGGCTTTTGGGGTATTTGTGTTCTCTGCCTCACACCACACTTGTCTCAGCTTGTGCATCTTACCGTTTCTTGGCAGCAAGATATCTGTTATACGCTCTGACTAAACTGAACATTTTTAATGGCGAAGTGAGAATTCTGAAGTTCAAAAAAAGCCTGAGATGGATTGAAAAGTTGCTATTCTTGAAAGACGCGCTTGAGCTCCTCAGCATCCTTTGTAACTAACACGCATCTGGAGCAGCTATGATTCTTGTTTCTTCCCCTCACTATGGACCCATTTCCAGCTGAGCTGGACGTGTGCCCTCGCAGCTCTGTGCAGGGATTTTGGTGGGCTGTCTGCAGGTTTTATTGAACATCTGTAATTCCTCGGCTTGGGTATGCTTCCAGCTATCACTTTAATCTGTTCCTGGGATACAGTGCTCTAGGTTTTTACCACTGGGGGCTGGGGAGGCATCTGTTTCGCTGCTGCAAGCAGAGGATGCAATAGTAACCTTGGTTTCCCATGTGCCGTGGAACATGATGAGGCGTTCTTAGGAGACCACGGTTACCGTCTTTAGCACAATGTGCTCTCTTTTCCCAGAGAAGTATAATCTCTGAGAAGCATATTTTTCAACTTATTGTAAATGAAGCCTACAGGGCTGCATGGGGCAGGGAAATTATACATAATTTATCCAAATATTTGTTCTTCCTGAGAGAGGAGTATGAGAGTAGGGATGCAGCTGTGGGGCTCAGAGAAACTTTGAACAACTGAATAGTGAGAGGGTAGAAAGGCAGGGGCTCTCGGTCTGGGCAGAGGGTGCAGGAAGTTGGCGTGGGCAACACAATAGGAATCCGAGCCTGAAGCATCTGTGCTGTGGTCTCTAGGAATCTTTGGTGCTTAACTCTTCATGTAAGCTGGATCTGTGTGTGGCCAAGACCTGTTGAATTGCTGGCCTGTTTGTAAATTTCACAAGATTTTGGCTATATGTACTTTAGCCTCCTGGTTATAGCCAAGAGGAAAGTGACTCAAAAACCTGCTCCCCTGGGGTTCTCTGGGAAGCCTGCTAAGCATCTGGACTGCATGGGGTCTGTTGACTTCAACCAGACTTTTCAGCATGTTTCAGTCAGTCTCTCAGGAATGAATCTTTGCTGAGATTTTTTTTTTCTCCTCATACCACAGGAATGTGAAATGCTCTCAGAATTTTTCACACAATCTGGGAAGTTCAAATATTCTTTCCTAATCTTTGAAGACATTGATATGCAATTGAGAACTTTAAAATCCAAAATCTTAAGTCAATAGAAAAGTCTTTGTTGTACTGAGAAAAACAAAACCAAAAACAATTCCTTGAATTATCTGAACATTTTAGTCTTTCCCCCTTTTTTTTTCTCACTTCTTTTCCCCACTAAGGACAGAGCAAAGGTAAGCTGAAGCTATCAGGTTGGTGCAAAAGTAATTGTGGTTTCGGCCATTGAAAGTAATTTGCACCAACCTAATACTTTATGGTGGTGACCCTAGAGTTTTCTTGCTGTCATCCAAACACTTTAAAAATACCAGCTGGGCATGATGGCACATGCCTGTAGTCCCAGCTACTCGGGAGGCTGAGGCAGGAGAATTCCTTGAACCCGGGAGGCGGAGGTTGCAGTGAGCCGAGATTGTGCCACTGCATTTCAGCCTGGCACCTGGTGACAGAAAGACTCTGTCACAAAACAAAACAAAAAAAAACAACTAAAACCTATATTTTGGATTGTTTTAAATCCTTGTTTTACAAACAATGAATTTAAATTGAGGACTTCCTCCTCTGGCGCTGAATAATTATCTTTTATGCTAAAGAAAAAGTAGGCCGGGCGTGGTGGCTCACGCCTGTAATCCCAGCACTTTGGGAGGCTAAGGCAGGTGGATCACGAGGTCCAGAGATCGAGACCATCCTGGTCAACATGGTGAAACCCCGTCTCTACTAAAAATACAAAAAATTAGCTGGGCATGGTGGTGCGTGCCTATAGTCCCAGCTACTCAGGAGGCTGAGGCAGGAGGATTGCCTAAGCCCAGGAGGCGGAGGTTGCGGTGAGCCAAGATCACGCCATTGCACTCCAGCCTGGGTAACAAGAGCGAAACTCCGTCTCAAAAAAAAAATAAAAAAAGAAAAGAAAAAGTAATTCTTAGGAAGGAGTCTCCTTCAAAGAGCCCTAAGCTAACAGTTCAATAAATAATAAACAGTTCAATAAAAATAATAACAATAAAAAATGCCATTCATTGAACGTTCAGTGTCTCTCAAATGCTTATGCCATTCATGAGCATTTGAGAGACACTCATAGCATTTGAGAGACACTGGTAATTAGGACAATTGAGGTAGTAATCTTAGTATTTGCTCAGTGGCATAGGCATTACAGGAGCCTTTCTTGGTATATATTATCTTAGTTCCCCCCACACCTCTGGAACATGTCTTTTTCAACCTCTAAGTCATGCTAATGCAATGATTCACCTTGGAGTCACTACTAAGTGCAGACAAACACAGGACACTGCTGAACCAACAGCTGCAATTGCCCAAGACCCAGGTACCACAATACACGTCTTTCATTCCTGACCTGCTTCTGCTTGATGATAGTCCCCCAGTCCCAACATCAAAGAATATTGTCTTTCACTTTCAACTCTACTTTTGTCTTTTCAATTTGTTAATTGCTATTGTTCATCCCAGCTGGACCCATGATGCCAAAACTTTGGCTGCTCTTACTTGGCTGCAGTTATTTGGCTGATCTGGCAGGATAACCTACCCAGAACAAAACTAAATTGGAAGGTCAGTTCGGCTGGAAAGCTGTCAGGGAGGAAATCCTACCCAAACTCCGCTTAAATTGGGAGATCAGTGGGGCCGTTTCCTGGACTGCCAATAATTCAAAGCATCAAAATACCCTCGTGGTCTAAACTATACCTGGCAATATTAAAACATGGAGAAAGATTCTATTTCCATAACTACACTCAGGGAGAGTACTGTGTATCATGTAAGAAAAGCACAAATCCCAAGGTAAATTATCGAGTAGCAATAGTTGGCAAGAGCTAAATTGCTGAGAAAAAGAGGGACGATAGAATCTGGTGGCCTGTAGCTGAGGTGCTCTTTCCCCTCTTAGTCTTCTACATCTCCTGTAGATAATGTTGAACATATATTTAAACAAAACAAAGAGGCACTGGCTTCAGGACTACCAAAATGTTATCCTGCTATGTCGCCAGTATGTCTCATTTTGATTCTGACCCCACCAACCTCAGAACCTAGATATTAGAACAAAGCCCCTTGGCTAATACTCAAGCACCAGCTTCTTCCTACTCCTGTGAAGTGGGTTTGGATAGATATAGGTGTCATCATCGTCATCATCATCATCACATTTTCAGATAAGGATCTCTGAAAGTGAAATACCCAAGGCCATTTATCTAGGAAGAAGCAATGGCTTCTAAAACTACAACATGATCCCTACATGGCAGTACACTCTGAAAGGAAAACTAATACTATTTTAAAAATCTAACAATGGCCATAGACGACTGGAGCTTGTCTTATATGTTTCCTGTCAAAAGTTCTTCTGCAACTTTTCTTAGTATGCTAGGGATATATATTTCTTAAAAGTATCCTGACTTATGTCCAGAGAAAGCAAATACTACTAGTATTTGCCTCTTGTTATAGAATGTGTTCTCAGAAAATGTTAATAGACACATATATGTCTTTAGTGACCACATTTTTAAAATGTTTATGTGGCTGGGAGCGGTGGCTCAAGCCTGTAATCCCAGCACTTTGGGAGGCCGAGGCGGGTGGATCACGAGGTCGAGAGATTGAGACCATCCTGGTCAACATGGTGAAACCCCGTCTCTATTAAAAATACAAAAAATTAGCTGGGCATGGTGGCGCGTGACTGTAATCCCAGCTACTCAGGAGGCTGAGGCAGGAGAATTGCCTGAACCCAGGAGGCAGAGGTTGCGGTGAGCCGAGATCGCGCCATTGCACTCCAGCCTGGGTAACAAGGGCGAAACTCTGTCTCAAAAAAAATGTTTATGTTAGGTTCAGGGATATAAGTGCAGGTTTTCTACATAGGGAAATTACATGTCACAGGGGATTAGTGTACAGATTATTTAATCACTCAGGTAATAAGTATAGTACATGATAGGTAGTTTTTCAATCCTCTCTCTCCTCCCTGCTTCCACCCTCAAATAAATCCTGATATCTCTTTGTTCCCTACTTTGCATCCATATGTACTCACTGTTTAGCTCCCACTTACAAGTGAGAACATGTGGTATTTGGTTCTGTTCCTATGTTGGTTTGCTGGTTAGCTTAGGATTATGGCCTCCAGATCCATCCATATTGGTGACCACATTTCAAGGCTGCTTTTATGTTCTTTCACATTAAGGAACACTATCATGCCTCCAGCTGACCAAGAGTTGAGTCTTCTTTGTCCAGGGACACTTCCATGAAAGTGCCTGGATTGTTCTTTTGCTTAGGACTTTATAAGCTCCTTAAAAGTTCATGGGAGAGGAAGTCAAGACCACCTAGGGAAGAAACCATACATATCAAAAGTGAACTGAAGATTAAATATATTTTGTAAAATTCAAACCATCTAAAGGCATGAGTGTGGTATGAGGGCTCCAATCTGTTTTCACTAGGGCATTCTTGAAATCCTAAATCAGGAGTGGTTTGGGAGTGGTGACATCCAATTGTATTCTAGAGATCTTCCTTCATCCTGACTTAGTGTTTCTGAACAGAACTATTCACTTCTCCAGTCCAAGTTGTTTCTTTTTTCTAAATCTTAACATCTGTTTTCTCTGTGGTTGATAAAAGGTTAGAATTCAAGGAAGACATATTTTCTGCCTTAACCACCCATAATTTAACCACTGTACAGCGATCATTCTTACTATTTCTGTTTCTAAATATTATGGCACATGATTTTTCTGAGACTTCTCTTTGTGACCCCTACTATGCTGGGAAGGTAGATTTGTTTACAGAGCTCTGGGACTTGAGGGAGAAAAAAATGATCTCCAGGACTCTTTCCTGTGTGGAAGACCCTTTTTCAGCCACTCTCATATCCTTTCTCCTTGGCTTCATCTCATCCATTACCTGGGACTCCTCCACTGCCAGGTCCCAAGGCAGTGTTCTGGGTCCTTCTCCAGGAGTACTGCTTCTGGTCATTAGCTGACGGCTGCTCACTGGATGGCTATGTGAAGCGTCTCTCTAGACTGCAGGGTTGGTTGGAAAGTCATGGACCCATTAAAGGCAACATGAACTCACTGTTTTGTGTTTCTGAACAAGAGAGCAAGGCCCATCTGGCTCTGGTAGAACTGGAGGGAACAGATGTCTCTCCTTGTTTATCCATTTAAAGTGAATGAAGAGTAATAGTCTGGGAAAGAATGCTGAAAAAAAAGGGAAAAGAAGAAAAATGAGGAGGAGGCCAGTAAAAAGGATCCAGACCTTCTACTCTTGCTTCAACCATATCTGATCCATCATCATCTTTGCTGTGTGCTAGAGTTCTGAATGAGATCTCCACTGCCTAAAGGAGACTGCGATAAAGATAACTGAAGGTCACTTATCTTGTCCAGTTCCTTCATCACAAGAGATGAGTAAAGTGTGTTATAGGAAGGTTATTAATAACTAGGGAATATCAGAAATACCATATATTATCTTTTCCCTTTATTAATAGACTGTGGGGTATAATGCTGAGCTGCTGCTATTAGATACATTGAGGTCAGATATTATCTGCGTCCATACAGTCTTTCCAGAAAATATTATTTCCATCCTTTGGCAGGGGTGCCCAGTCCACTCAAGACAGATGAGAAGCATTCTTTGGGAATAATAGAGTCTTCTCCCTTAGAAGCATTTCACGTACTGCAGAGTTGCTGCCATATGGTTCCGATAAAGGTTCTGCCAAAATTCCCGTGGTTCTCACAAGAGCTCCTACCTCCTCTGTTCTTTTAATCTCCTGCTGCGGGTGGCAGACATGGGAGAGACAGGCAAGCTGCAAAAGAAAGTCGATGAAATAAAATTACAGCCCTACAATCGTGTTCCTGTCAATGTTGATGGGGCCCCCCTCCCTCTTGGTTTGCTCACAGAGGTGGGTGTGAGATCCTATAGGACGGTCTGGAAGACATCCAATGGAAGGCAGTTTATTTTGTCCAGAAGCTCGAGGAAAAGCAGAAGGCAAGTGTTGTCTCTTAGAAGGCCTGGTGGGGGGCGGGGGGGGGGCAGATGGTGAGGGTTTAAGGAGAAGAAGTCATTAGGGATTTTTACTTCATAGAGAAAAGAGAATGGTACCTAGAGGCTAGTGTGAATTTGTAAAACAACATAGCAACAGAAAGGGGCAATGTTTAGAAAGACTACCACTCCTGATTACATGCTCTGGCAGGCAGGGGAGAAACAGTCTTAGTGCCCATGTGAGGACTAGAACTGGTTTCTTTTCTTCTTTACGTGATTGTTCTGAGTCCTTTCTGTTTCTTGGTGAGCTGTACTGCAGTCCCTCTCCCAACTCCCTACCCTAAATTCTATGTACTGAAGTGATTGATAACTTTCTTTAGAAAATTGCAAATTTCTCTTGAAGGTGAATGGCAGCGTTACAAGATACAGTCGTAGAGTCTGTAGTTGTGGAACATATGTCCTGCTTGCTAATTTCTGACTGCACATTTTGAAATAGATTCTTTGAAATTAATGGCCAATTATTAGCTCTGACGTGGTGCTTGCTAAGTTGGATGTGGATTCATTTTGTAAACCTTGTGTGTGCATTTGTGTTTTATGTTTACTAACTACTTACATGGATCACCTGTTTTTGTTTTTCTAAGACTGTTCAAGGTAGGTAAGGCCAAAAGAGAATTTTGCCCACTGAAACTCATTCCAAAAACTGTACTGAAGAAATGAGATCTCTAGGTAGGTCTTGCTGAGTTTGGCAAGCCCAAGGGGGCTTGTATTTCTGATGTAATGTCACCTCTTTCCCCATTGTCCTGTTGTCTAACTCATCTAGAGGAGACTAAGCACACATGTTGGAGAACAGTGAGGTAAAGTAAGGATCACTCAGAAATAGCATCCTCACTGGTCCTCATTCTAGCCCAGGTCCATTTATGCAAGTTCCTTGGGTGATCCTTCCCTACCTTCGTGAATGTTTGCCTCTCATACTGCAGGTGGGCGCCGAGCTTCTGCTTGGTTTCACTGAGACAGTGAATGGATTTCACTCCCCCATTTCTCTCTCCCTCTACCCTATTTGAATTGTCTCTGCTTGCTTGAAGATGAAGTAATTAAATATATCTTGGAAGGATATAGAAAACAGCACCTCCCTCCTCCTTGCCTTCTTCTGGGGAGTACAATCCGGTAAACTACCAGGTTGTCTTGTCAAATGAGTTATTGTTTTTCAAAATGTAGCCTGAATGGCATTCTTTATAATTAAGGCTTCTGGCTTTCAGTTTAAAGTGATATTTGCCAGTAAAAGCCTGCCAAAAAATAAATAAATAAAAGCAGGCTTACCGTTAAATATTGATTTAAGCTTGGAAACTGGCTGCAAATTTTGTTATACTAGTCTTGATCTCCACGGCCTCTGGGCATCTGTTTCAATTTGGTCAAATTGAAATGGGGAGGGACAGTGCCAGGCTAACAGCACGGTGATCCAATATAGTAGGATGAGTTGTATTTGATGAAGAAGAGCCAGGCAAAGTCATCTGCAGGTCCTGGGGATAGGTGAACTGGGCTCAGATAAAATAAAAGCTGATGGGCATCTTAACCTATCCTTTGGGCTGACCTGAGCCAGTGATTATACTTTTGAAATGTAGAAAAACGTTGAGTTATCTTTGGAGGACGGAATATTTTTTTTCTGCCTTTCTGTATATCCTGTTATATATAAGCTTTTTCTCCAACTGGTTTGGATGGGCATTTTTCCTTATGATCCTTCCATAGTACTGGTAGGGATGTTAAAAAGCCCAAATGCAAAACATTTCCCTAGGAATCACATTTCTCAATCCCTACTATGAGTTTTTTTTTCTTATGTTAGGAAAAGAATAAGGTTCTCAGAAGAGTGTTCTCTTCCTGCGTGTATATGTTTGAGAATCGTTCTTATCCATCTCTGTCTTTCACAAGAGAAGGCCACCAGGAAGCGGGAGAGTTAAAAGTTCCTGAAGAAAGGGCCCTTGATGAAACCAAACTCTGTGGGTGCAAAATGTCTGAGATCTATTAATTTTGGCAACCCCCGTTATTCCAAGTGTCTCTTGTCATCTGTAAAGTTAACAAGGGCTGCTAAGAGTTGATGAGGCAGGGTACTACTGGTTTATATTTCCAGACTCACAAATATTTCACAATACCATTTTCTTACACTCAGATACATTAGTTTGCCAAGTATCCTGCTGGAAGTTCATTCAGCACTAGTGTTTAACAAAAGCCCAGTTTTAGAATCAGAGGCTATCCGAGGGGTGGGGGGCCTCAAAGTGTGCATTACTTGTTATTGTACCTGGCTTTCAAATGCACGTCCTAATTCAAGTGCGAGAGTTGGTATTTGACCTCTAGAAACTGCTGCTGTCTACCTTGAAAAATATATTGTTATGTTCTATGGGCAAAAAAAGCATCAATCTTAGCTACACTCTCATATTCTTTCTTGTTCTCGAGCTCCGCCAGTGCCCTTGTGTTTCTTTGTACTTCACACCATAGACAGTTACATCAGGCACCAAAGGGTGAATTTAATTTGGAACAAACCTCTGTCTTGATAGAACTGCCTTTACCCGGGCTCAAACACAGCAACCTGCAATTTCCTGAGACTGTGCCTCACCTAGCGCTATCACAGGCTCTAAAGATTAAGTCCAGCCTCAGCATTTCTCATAGCTAACCCAACTACAGCAAAAAAGGGGTATAGACACACAAGTCAGCCAAGTAGCAATGGTTTTCTCCCTGATGTAATCAGATGGAGTGCATGGATATCACTTGATTAACAGCTGCGGTATTAATTTCCCTTTTTGGTTGCTTGACTCACAGCAAGAATCATGTCAAGGCAGCAGAGAAGCAATTAAATTGATTTTAATCTTTGTCAGAGAAGATAACATGCCTCTTTCTCTTCTCATTTAAATAATTAAAGTTTCAGTAGGTATTATTTCTGGCTTTAAAGAAATTGGTATCTTAATGTAATAGAATCCTTGTAATTATATACTTAATGGTCCTTAATAAGTTAATCATGGTTTTCCATTTAACATGTATTTTTTACTTATTAAACTTTTATTTGTTATAGTATCTTTGCTTTCAGGAAGAAGGATATCACAAAGAACGACAGATATAAAACATTTCTGTCATTTCTTATATTAATCCTTCAGCATTTATTTTCTCCTTTCATAGCATCTAGGACTCAAATTTGAAGTCATTTTTTTTTACAGTTTTTTTCAGTTCATTTAAAAGAAGCCCACTTATTTTAATAGAAACATACTTAATTTTAATAGTGATAAACTTTTGGGCTTCTATGAAAATTTCTTTTAATAATAACGTACTTAATTTTAATAATGGTCAAGTTTTTGGCTTCTATGGAAACTTCCTTGTAGAATATTATATTACTTAAATTATATTGAGCTCCTTTAAACTTAAAATTTCATTAAGATCTTAGTGAAACATTGAAAAAACATTGCAAATGGTTTTATTCCTCCTTGATATTTGGTCAGACATTATATAGTTATTTTACTATATACATCTAACATAGTTATTTTACTATATTTACTATATACATCTAACATAGTTATTTTACTATATACATTTACTATATTTACTATATACATCTAACACAGTTATTTTACTATATACATATTTACTATATTTACTATATACATCTAACATAGTTATTTTACTATATACATATTTACTATATTTACTATATACATCTAACATAGTTATTTTACTATATACATTTACTATATTTACTATATACATCTAACATATTTTACTGTATACATATTTACTATATTTACTATATACATCTAACATAGTTATTTTACTATATACATATTTACTATATTTACTATATACATCTAACATAGTTATTTTACTATATACATTTACTATATTTACTATATACATCTAACATAGTTATTTTACTATATACATTTACTATATTTACTATATACATCTTACCCAACATTGTGAGAAGCATTTCAGAGAAAAGGAAATAGGAAAAAGCAAACAGGAGGAAAATTCATCACAGCCTTCCTCATTAGATGCTGGATTTTAGTTGTAATGCATATGTAGCCTACATAACTTGAGTATTACATAACTTAATGATTTAAACCCCAGTTGCTACCAGTGAGGGGACTGACTTGTGTAACAGAGGAAGTGTTATCCTGGAGAAAGCCTACTTCTTAATTCAGATTTCTATCAAGAAATGAGCTTTTCACCAAAAGGTTTCAAAACTGTTTCCTTTTCAGTATGCTGAGCAGTGACTAAGAGGAGAGAGCACACGTTACATGGAGACCATGGGCCCTGTACGAGAGACATTGAGAGCAGAGAGAAGCGAAGCCAGCATCCTAGAGCCACTCCCTTTATCCAGGGTCTTAGAGGGATGCAGTCTTCTACAGCAATTAAAGACTGCATTCTTCAATAAATATTTTGAGAAGAGAGCCACTATAAGCTTATGTACTGTGAGTTGCAAAATGTTATTCCCTCTGGGTGGACAGGTTTTAAAAAGGCAATTTTTTTTTTCTCCTGGCATGACTAACAGAGGGAAGGCTGGGTTTCAATCCCTTCTTTCCCTCCCTTTGCCCAGTTGCTTCTTTATGTCCACAACCCGCACAACTGTATGTGGTTTGCAGACATGCGTAAGCAAAGACTAAGAGCTTCTGAAACAAACTCTGAATCAAAGAGGGAGCATACAAATGCAGATGGCAGAGGAGGTGAGCAGCATGGACAGACAGAAGCATCACAGAGGCTGTAAGAAAAATGCTCCAGACTGGCTCATAGTAGAATCCTGGTCACACTGATTAATAATTATCACCAGCTCTTTAGGATTTGGAAACTTGGAAACACACTGTGTGTTCTTCCTAGTTTGTTATGGAGTATGTGTATGTACTTCTTTCTCTTGAAAAATGTTTATTTCTAAGGAACTGACATAAAATTATAGGTGTGTATCATGTATAACTCAATAATTTGAAGTACAGTCCTGTGTCATGGGGATATGTTCTGAGAAATCCATCAATTTTGTTATTGTACAAATATGATAGAATACACTTGCAAAAACCTAGATGATACAAATTACTACACACCTAGGCTACATTATGTAGCCTATGGCTCCTAGGCCATAAACCTGTAAAACATGTTACTGTACTGAATACTATAGGCAACTGTCACACACTGATAAATATTTGTGTATCAATACATATCTAAACATGGAAAAGATACAGTAAAAATACAGCATTACAATCTCATGAGACCATTGTTGTATATGCAGTCCATCGTTATTAAAACATTGTTATATGGTGCATGACTGTACATATGCATTGTGGAATGGTTAAATCTAGTGAATTAACAAGTGTGTTACCTCACATAGTTATTATTTTTAAGGTGAGAAAACAATATCCACTCTCTTAGCATTTTTCAAGAATATAGTATGTTGTCATTGACTATAGTCACCATGCTGAATGATAGATCTCTATAACAAATTTCTCCTATCTAACTGTGATTATGTACACTTTGACTAACATCTTTCTAACACCACCCCACAAACACCCCATAATAAAGCCTCTTGTGGCCAGGCACAGTGACTCATACCTGTAATCCCAGCACTTTGGGAGGCTGAGATGGGCGGATCATGAGGTCAGGAGATTGAGACCATCCTGGCCAACATGGTGAAACCCTGTCCCTACTAAAATACAAGAAATTAGCCAGGTGTGGTAGTACACAGCTGTAGTCCCAGATATTCAAGAATCTGAGGCAGGGGAATCACTTGAACCCAGAAGGTGGAGGTTGCAGTGAGCTGAGATCATGCCACTGCATTCCAGCCTGGTGACAGAGCAACACTCCATCTCAAAACAAATAAATACAGCTGCTTGTAACCACCATTTTACTTCTTATTCTTGGAGAATGGTCTTCTTGGTCTCTCCCTTTGTCTCTCCATACAGTTTTTGACTTAATGTCTATGTTGCTTGATATTAATGTAAGTATGCTAGGACTTTTGCTCTCCTTTAGTTTCTACTTGCATAGAATATATTTTTATGTTCCTTCATTTTCAGTCTGTGTGTCTTTATAGGTAAAGTGAATCTCTTATAGGCAGCAGATAGTTGGGTTGGCTTTTTTTTTTTAATCCATTCAGCCAATCTATGTATTTTGATTAGAGAACTTTATCTTTTTACATCCAACGTATTGTTAGTAGATAAGGACTTACTACTGACATTTTGTTTATTGCCTTCTTGTTGTTTGGTAGATCATTTTGTGTGGTTTTTATTACAGGGTGTCTCTTCAGTCATTCTCAATTAATCTTGATGCTCTTGATTCCTACCTCACTGTTAGCATTGAGGGTGTTAGAGTGCAGAGTATCAAAACCAGCATTTATCAGAAAGAGAGGATGTTTACACAAACATTAAGACATGGGAGAGAGTCAGTGGGGTGGGGTGGAAAAGAAAGCACATTCTAGGCAGCAAAAATCATTGAAGCAAGAGTATTGAGGTGAATATGAGCATGGGTTCTTTTATAGATGCTGAATTATCAGCCAATTACAGGCTGCAAACTGTTCAAACATATCCAAATAAGGCAAATGCTGAGCTGTCGCTAATCAGGCTACTTATGTACGTCACTTCCTGTTAATACTGCCTGTCCACATTGCTGCATGGAGGGTGCTGCCCAATTCATAAATCATTTCTTTTCTCAAATAAAGTCTGCTAAATTACAAAAAGGAAAAAGGAAACTATCTTAACACCTGATCAAATGTGGGTATTTCTGGAAATGCTGAGATTATTGTGGCACATTCTCTGTCCTGGAGGAACTGGAAGTATTTTTAAATCCACCATATTTGATCCTCATACAAATTTTATAAACTAGATAAGAAACATCTTAACAACTAAAAGTTACTGGTGAGGGAACCTTAAAAAAAGTACCTTAAAAAATACACAAGACTTAAGGTGACACAACTAACTCTAGGAATGCTGGGACAACCCAGCTGCCTGGCAACTACCGTGGTGCTTTCAACCAGATCAGAGAGGGTCTAGCTTTTTCCTGCTTCTTTCCCAAGTAAGAGTAGTAAACTGAAAAAAAAAAAAAAAAAGCATTATTGTTACATTGTTATGATGATCATTACTATTATCAGATAGTGAGGGGTGAAGGAACAGAGAACAGCCAGGGCTCTTTGCCTTTCATTTCTCTCTACTAGTAGTGAATATGTGAAAAATCATTGCAAGTTGAGTTAGCAGATGTGAAATGCAATGAAATTTGTGGGGGAGCATAATAAAGTCAATTAAAGGAGTTCTGATATTGGTGTTGTGGAAGAATTTCACCTGACAAGAAACCAAACGGCACTCAGAGGGTCAGAGGAACACAGTGTATTATGCCGGCAGGCCCAGACGGGTTTTTACCCAAAGGTCTGGACCCCCGGCCTGGAACAGCATGCAGCTTTTTTTTTTGAGACGGAGTTTCGCTCTTCTTACCCAGACTGGAGTGCAATGGCGTGATCTCGGCTCACCGCAACCTCCGCCTTCTGGGTTCAAGCAATTCTCCTGCCTCAGTCTCCCCAGTAGCTAGGACTACAGGCGCTCACCACCATGCCCAGCTAATTTTTTGTATTTTTAGTAGAGATAGGGTTTCACCTTGTTGACCAGTATGGTCTTGATCTCTTGACCTCATGATCCACCCTCCTCAGCCTCCCAAAGTGCTGGGATTATAGGCGTGAGCCACCACGCCCGGCCAGCTTTTATAGATTAGGGGCAGGGGAGTAACTTGAGGTTTTAGGGAACGTAGCAGTTTCTCAAGGGACATCCTAGTGAGCAAGCAGGAAGTGAGTATACAGAGAAGCAGATAGTGGTGGTTAGTCGGGCAATCAGGAGATTTTTCACGAACTTTACACTTCATTTGCAGAGCAGCATTGTTCATCTGTTTCAACTGCTTTAAAGACATTTTTATTTAAGTAAAATAAATAGTTAAAAAACTCATCCTGCCAAACGAGTTTTCTGCTAACAACCATATACCTCCCACAACACTAATCACAAAGTATATTTCTAAAGTGATTCCAGCCCTGTTTAGGGAATCAGTGTTATTCACTCTTTTTCCTCTAGTTCCTAGCACAATGTCTGGGCTAGAGGATTCATTCATTTGATCACTCAACAAATATTCATTGAGAACCTACTATGTGGCTGTCACTATTTTAGGTACTTAGGAGATAGCAGTGAAGGAAGTAGATATGATTCTTTCTCTAATGCAGCTTAAATTTTGATGGAATATTTTGGTATTTCCAAAAATAAATAAAGATATGTGTTATAAAGAAAATTAAAGAGACGTGATGATAATGAAATGGGATGATTTGCTTGGGTGCCCAGGAAGGTTTCTTTTTGAGGAAGTGACACTGGAACTGAGACTTAAATGTCAAGTTTCAAATGTAGAAAACAACTTTGCATGCCTGAAAATGGAAAGATGTATATTATGGCTTAAGGCTGAAGGGGCAAAGGAAGTGGTATAGAGATGAGTGGAAGGGTTCCAAGGTGGTCTTTTCACAAAGGAGGGTGAGGGAGCGAGGTAATGTCAAAAGCTGATGCGTGCTGCTAGGTCTTCAAAATTACCAGGCTGCAAAGATTCTCCTACACTTAATTAAATTTAAAAATACATGCGCTCCGAAGGACACAATAAAGAAAGTAAAAATATAAGCCACCAAATGGGAGAAAATATTGGCAAATCCAATATCTGATAAGAGGCTTATATCTAGAAATATAAAGAACTCTTACAATTCAACAGATAAATAAGCCAATTTAAAAAATGGGCAAAAGATTTGAATAAATGTTTCTTTTTTTTTTTTTTTTTTTGAGACGGAGTTTCGCTCTTGTTACCCAGGCTGGAGTGTAATGGCGCGATCTCGGCTCACCGCAACCTCCGCCTCCTGGGTTCAGGCAATTCTCCTGCCTCAGCCTCCCGAGTAGCTGGAGTTACAGGCATGCATCACTGTGCCAAGCTAATTTTTTGTATTCTTAGTAGAGACGGGGTTTCACCATGTTGACCAGGATGGTCTTGATCTCTCGACCTCGTGATCCACCCGTCTCGGCCTCCCAAAGTGCTAGGATTACAGGCTTGAGCCACCGTGCCCGGCCATAAATGTTTCTTTAAGGAAGAG